TCTGAATGTGTGTGCATGTGTGCATATATGCGTGTTCCTAATGCCTCATTATCTAATATTAATTACAGCACGGTATTAATTACAAAAGCATCATTCCTCAAGGGAAGAGCTAAGTAATACATCATTTCCTTCATTTGTAAAAGGGCACATTTTAGAGACTTAAATCACAGCTGGTTAATAATTTTAAAGTATCCATGAGTTAACTTCTTTGACGTGTAAAATTCAGATAGGAATTACTTTTGATAAAGCCAGATAGATAAGAAATGTGGTTGCTTTATAGTTACTAACTCCTAAAATTTAGGCATACAGATTTCATATGAATTAAAATGAATACTAGACAACACTGACTAAATAAGCCTCACAGATTTATTAGAGAATAGGATATCAAGTTGGAATATAAAATATTCCCAGATTCATTTGAAACTGAGTATTTTTATATGTTAAAATTACTCTTTTAAAAATACGGTTTTAAAGTTATATTTTCTTTTCTTTGTTCACCATTAAATTGCAATATTTTGCAGGACACTGATAATTATGTCATGTCCCACATGCCACCAGAAGGTTCTAGTTGACTTTCAGACCCTCTCAGATGAGACCCAACATCTGGGTCTAGTGCACCATCTAGTGGCTAAAAGAATCACTGATGTCTGAACGTTAATTAACTTGCTTGTTCCGCATTTTTAGAAAATACTGGGACATATATTTTTTAGAAAATAAGAGAATTGTAAACAGCCATAGCAGATTCCTAAGACTATTTCCTTCTAAAATTTATATTTAAACCATTTAATGAGCAATAAAATTCTCAAAATGAGGGAAATTCATAGTACATGATAGTTAATGCGTAACAAAGGTTTAAATGACCATTAATTATGCCACATTCATTTAAACACACTGTACACTGCTTCATGGAGAGAAGACACAATTTATACCAGTGAATAGGAAAAATGTACCTGCTGACAACCATGTGTACAGGATTGCTGAGATATATTTTTTTCCTCCTTTTTACCTCGCCTTAAACAATTTACCACAGGCAACTGTTAGTAAAGGCAGTTGAAAGTGTTCAGTCAAATCTTTATGTTATTATCTAAACTGCATGGTCTTGGTCATGACAATACACTTAAATTATTTTTAAATTTAAAAAGGCACTCTTTAGCATTTCTCTTTAAATTGCTAGTATCTAGGAAATGTTCCTCTTTTTCACTTCTACAAATGTGTTTAATTTACTGTGTAAGTTCTAAATAGATGACTGATCACGTACTAATAAAACACAAAAGATCAAGTGTTAAAGATAAAGTTAACGTGACTTTATCAAAGAAAATTTCTTACTGCTACTTGCTCAATTCCCATAGCGTGCGTACTTCTCATAAGTCATCTGCTATAATCCCAAGCTCTACATTCACTGTTATTGGTCACACACAAATAACTTACTCAATGTGCCTGAAGCAAAGGTAAGACTAAGATACTTATTAAAAGCAAAGCAAGCCAACCCCAATCCCTATACAACATGTGTTGATTTCATTTTGAACACAAAGTTGAGAAATCTTGAATTATAAATCAGAAACACGTAAAGGCTCACTTTGAACTAGTGGTAGCAAATCAACCCAAATTCATTCTTTCTTTTTAAAAGGGCTATTATTTGATAACCTAGTAGGCCATGTTTAAAGAGTAAATATCTCTCTGCTAAGTGGATGAGTGGATCTGGCATGTCTTGGTTTGGAGCAGGAATTTCAACAAGGACTTGCTGATGTTGATGTGAGATCAGGAAAGAGGGGCTGGAAATAGGGTCAGTTAGGTAGATTTTTAGCTACTGGTTAATGAATTAAGACTCAGTTGGATGGGAGTCCTTGGGATCAACATCTCAGGGCTTTTTCCTTAAACCTGTCCTACTTATTAACACCTGGCAAAAATGGAGATGCTGAAATAGAGAACTAAATGTGGGTGGGGAAAGGTTTCCAAGTCATCAACTTATTAGAAGAATGGGTCCAAGTCAATCAAATGGATGTAGAATAAGAATTTCCCAGACCTGAAAGAGCATGTGTAGCCCTCAGAACACCAACTCTGTCCTGTATCACCCACAGAAGATCATCCAGCTTGTGGTGAAATGTGTTCAAACAGAGGAAATACACTACCCCTGAGGGAGCCATCCCTGGAGAGACAGGTCCAATTATCAACACAACATTGGATGTTAAGGTTTAAAGGTAATCGGTTATAGGTACAAAAGATGGACAAGATGTAGATCTCAGCAGTCTTTGATTTGGATGACTTAATAGAGAATCCACTGCTAAAAGGCTTCCAACTTTCTTTTGCATTTTAAGAGATGTCCTTTAACATAACCTCTTCCCTCCATTTGTAGTGTGGAAACTTAGTAAGACACAGTGACATGTTGGGATATATCTAGAAAAACATGGCTAAGAGGGTATGTGACTTGGAGAAATGAAGATGCTTGTGGTTCATGATGGGTTTGTGAGCAGCACCGGGCCAGGAAGTGAAAATAAGAGCATGATAGCTGGAGCTATTCTATTCAACCAGAAGGTACTCTGAGCCAAACAATGCCATGAGAGGTGATTCAATACTGATGAGATGAGGACTCTGCCCTCAGAAATTTCACCCAACTTGTCTTGCTCTCTGCCACTTGCAAAAACATAAGCTCACTGCCGTGGGAACAACACTTGACCAGGAGACACCATTGCACAAATGGGATAATGACAGCTCCAACCACGGGTGTTGTGAGGATCAAATAAAACATAAGATGTGTGCATGTGCAGAAAACTGCGTCGCAGTGACTTGTTCTTCGTGAGAGATGACACCCAGGGGATTCCCGTAGTTAGGAAACAAAGGAGACTCTCTGGTGTAGAAGGTCCATGTGGACTCTAAGAGTCTATGATTTCATTTTATTAATAACCCAAGCTAATTAATTCTGCTTTAATATTCAAAGTTTATATTGCTTCAAATTATAATGCATACACCATGTCCCCCCTACTTTCATAGTATATGTTCACCCCTGTAAGATGCAACTTCTCAATGCCACAGAGTTAGATCCTTTACTAGTCCCTAATTAAGCTTTTTCCCCTCATCCACTGTTTATCACTTGGATAAATAGAACAGAGGTATCTGTGTACAACTGAGGCAAATCTGTATTTTGGAAGTTCAAGGAATAACTCAAAATATATGATGATTTACTGAAGAAAGGTCCTTCTTCTTTTTTTTTTTTTTTAAAGAAATGCTCCCATTGAAAGTCAGTAGTATGACCTGATCATACCAGCAACTGTGATTTCTGTTCATTATCTAATGACAGGATGGAACATGCTTATTTGACTTTCATGTTTTTATACTCATTCTTTGCCTCAGTGGCAAAGAAACTGATTCAAAAACAGAGCCTAAGAAATAGATGAAAACCTCTCCTGGGGAAGCTCAGAATGAATGGAGAAGCAAGAATCTGGAATTAAGTACAAAAAGGAAAAGGATTGGGAGAAGAGAGGAAAGATGAAGAGGTAGTTTGCAAAATATGTTGAATTATTAGAATTATTCAAAGTTATGTTATATAACATATATTATATGTTAGATGAGAAAAAGTAAACTCCAGATTCTACAATGTTTTCTGACTTTAGACAAGCCTCCTCCACCAGAACCTCATCACACACACACACACACACACACACACACACACACACACACAAATGATGCCTTGTCTCAATGTTTGGAGTCATGGACAGTTTCTGTAAAGCAGCTTTGGAAACCGTCTAATAACATGACTAAATAAATGGCAACAGATGCTGGCGTAAATGATTTTGCTACCTCAGCCGGGAAATGGTGTTCATAGTGTGGTTATTTTAATATGTTTGAGATGGCAATACTATTCAAAGCCCAACAGAAGCCTGTTACACTTGCAGTTTCTAGTTCAAGGCAGATGCTGGCATCCGATTCCTGTCAAGGAGAGTCATTGGATTCAGCTTGCTTGATCTGTGGCACATTGCTACCAGAACTTACCAGGCATGTGTATGAATAAATTTCCCTTCCCTATCTGATTCTGTGTCTTTGGGCTTTACACATTCTAGTCACTACTTTTCCTAGAAAAGGTAAGTGGGGCCTTCTTTCAACCTTTGGTATCTTCCCAGAGCCTTACCAGCCCCCCCGCCCCCCCCCCCCCACACACCCCAACGGGATCCAGAAGCCAAAGGAAGCCAGAGGATGCCGGCCAAGCAACACACAAGGGGCAGGACGGAAGGGGGTGCAGGGGGCTGAGAGTCACTAGGTTATTTCCTGGGTGGGTGGATGGATGTATGAGTGGATGTATGAGTACATGGATGGGGATATGGATGGATGGAGAGGTAGATGGATTGGGGAGGGTGTGGATAGGTGGAAGGTGACAAAGTCAGTAAATCATATGTGGTCACAATTTCTTTCTCTGTAAACTGAATATTAAAAATCCTCTCTCTGTATATAAAATGCCAGTAAAAAGTATATGGAACCATGTGAAAATATTTTTATACTCCTAACAGTGCTATATATGATGTATGTCAATTTTATTTTATTTTTTTGGTTTATTTGGTTATTTGGGGGAAGAGACTGAGGGGGGAGAAAACATGATCCAACTGATGTTTAAAATGCTAACTTTAAGAGGACCGAATGATTTTGTTCAGCTTATTCTTCATTGTGCTTTATGGACATTTTAAAATCTGCTAAACTAGACAATGGTGAAGTGGCAATACTGATTATGAAAAAGTCTAGATCACTGTATCATAGCATCATAAAGGTCCTTAACACACAGAGGACATACTTCATTGGTTGCTACGGTTCCCTAAAACTTAAGCCTTTGTTAAGGGAGAGAGGGGAACGCATTCCCCTCAGAAAGGAAGTAAACTTCAGATGACTATATAACGAGCAAGTCTAAAACGCCATTCCAGTGTACTCAGGACCCTGGAGTCAAGCAGTGGCCCCTTTGGGACTTTCAGTGACCCCCCTCCCCCGCCCCCCTTTCCCCTCGGTGAGAAGCCCTGTACCTGTATGTGTCCTTCGATGAGCCTTCAGGTGAGAACTTTTTGTGTATACTTTGTTGCATCCCTCAAAATCACATCTGTGGATACGCCGTTTTCTGGAGTCTGGGGATTCAGATCGTCTCTGGCGTCTTGTGCTCTCAATACTAAATGGTGAAATTGAACTGGAAAAAAAAGAAGTGGAGTTAAGTGGTGAGCAACACAGCCCTCTGTTTGCATTCTAGTGGCGTGCCACCTCAGCCTCACGCTCTGTAGCTTCATACAGACTCAAGGCCCCATGGCTGCACTGCCTGCTGTCACTTTCTTGAATGTAACTTCATTTCTCAATCTGGAAGGCAGGCAGCTTGGCCTATTTCTGATAAAACACTCCTCCAGAGAGAAAGCCACGCTTAAAACAACAAGACAAAAACGAAAACTAAATAAAAGCAGTGGTAGGTAAGTAGATCCTCCTTATCAAAAGAAACAATCTGGAACTTCTGAATGGCACTTACAGGGAATATTTTTGGAAGCCCTGCTACAGACAGACAAAATGAATGCATTTAGGAAATAACACGAGGGTCTGAACTGCACGTGACAGCATATAAAATCATGTAAAATCACAGGGTACATTTCAAAACAAGTGAGGTCAGGCTAAAAGAAATGACATCAGTACATCAATAACAATGACTCATGACAAGCTATTTCTGTTCAGTAAAATGCACTTGACATTTAACTTTTCCAGTTGGTGGTTTTTCATGGTGAGGAATAAAGTACATTGTATTTAAAGATTAGCTGTACCACCATTATGAGAAAAAGTTTTAACTATGAAATTTGGCCCTGACTTGCACGTTGTTTAATCTGCATGCCACAGTAGAAAAACAGGATTAGTTTGTAACGTCAGGTAATTGATTAACATGTACTTCTTCAAACCTTAATCTCTTTTGATTGAGGTAGAAATGAAGAATATGACTAATCGTTTTTAGTTACCCATGAAGTTCTATACTAACACATCACATCCATATTTCTACTGTAAAAAAAATATACCACTGTTCATATTAAGACATATTTTCTTTCAGTTTTTTTCATGTTTTGATGCTTTTCAGAATTAATTCTTATTAGTAAATTGCCTCTTTTAGAAAAAGAGAATGACTCTGAGCAAGAGTTCTTTGAAGAAAGCGAAGTTTAAGCTTCACTTAAGCAGATTACAGGTAAAGGTAAACGCCCACCCTTGTCTTTCATCCTCCTCCCAGGGAAAACTTCTGTCATCATTTGTCTTTAAATTCTTCAATTCTTTCAAATTATCCTTCCCTATACATACCCACAGTCATAGAAACTCATAATATTGTTTTGCTTTTTAAGAGACATATAAATATCATCATACTGTTCACATCGTTTTGCAAATTGCTCTATGCTTGCCTTTTATTCACTCAACATTAAGCATGTGAGATTATCCATGTTGATGCCAACACTGTCGTTTACTTGAAGTGCTATATAACTCATCTATTCTAAGAGGTTTTTTTTTCATATTTTAATGTTTCTAAAATCAGATGTTTCTTACAATTGATGGCTTGATGTAGTTTAACTGGCAAAATTTTTTTTATTAGTGGTACATAAAGGCATGGTGCATTTTAAAATATGTGGTATTTTAACTTGGATCGGGGGTTGGTAAACTTTTTCTGTAAAGGGCTAGATAGCAAATATTTTGCTTTGACTTTGAGAGTCATACAGTGTATGTTGTAACAAATCAACTCTGTGCTTATAGCATAAAAGTAGCCATAGACAATATGTAAACAAGGGAGTATGGCTCATATTCTAATAAAACTTCATTTACAAAACACTGAGTTGTATTTGAGTCCAATGGTTGATGCATGACTCTGATGAAACATGGGAGTAGTCCAGTGAATATCTATCCCAGAATTTTTGAGTCTATGTCCTAAGCAATTGACATTTATATTATTTCTAATACTTCACTGTAACATTGCTCCAGTGATTTTTTCTCAATGTTTCCTTCTATATGTGCCTTTTAAGTTTTCAATGCATCTTCTCACTTATACAAATAACAGATTCAGCAGCCAAATTTTTCTATTACCTAAGACAAAATATAAGTGGTGTTCATCGATGTGTGCCCTAAAGAGTTTTATGCAAGATATTTATTAGTAGAATGAAAGAAAATATGGGATGGCTAAGCCACTTTTTCCAGCCTTCCTATGTATCAATGTAGATTTGTGGTTTTCCACATAACTGACTCAGTTGTGGCAACTGGAGCCTATGGTGAAAAAGTCAAAATAGTGTGATTGGCATGCCCCATGAAAGAACAGCTTTGGTCGCTTCTGCAGGGGTATGCTCTAGCATACAGTGGGTTTCTTGTGAATAAAATTCTATGTGTGATGATAGGGCAACAGTGATTCATTTCTTGAATATCTAGTCATGAAAATAAATATGGATCTTGGCACTTGGGAACCTCAAAAATAGAAATTTCTGTGTCGTGATATGTTTGACATCTTTTAAGTCAAAAGAAAATGATATGGCTATCTGTTTCCTTCAAATTATAACTTAAAATCTATAATCAGAATGGTTTGTTTTGTATAGTACTTTCTACACACTAATAAGTGTAAATATAACTATGCATAATCACACACGTATATTGTTTTGCCTGTAGTTTATTTTAGCTATTTATCTTGTTATGTATTTGTGTATACAGAGAAAAGTAAAACATAAATCTGAAATTAAAACCAAGTAACTATTAGGCAAGTCTTTAGGGAACTAATGAGGTGAAGCTTCTCTACAGCCCATCAATCTTGGAACCATTTGGCAGATGGTTAAGGAAAGCAGAGGCCACAGAGTGGCAAGATACTACTTCACCGAGACTTCTGAGTTTACGTCAAAACAAAGACATGTTAGGTGGAAATAGGTGGAAAGACTTATAATGCTACAAAACTTCACACCCTGATTTGCCTCATTTTAAAGTAAAATGTTTTTGTTTTGTTTTTTACCTCCAAATACTTTACTGTTAATTTCTAAAGTAAAATGTTTTAGGGCATTTTGAAGAACTATCCCCTAAATTTATCTATGCAATAAAAAGAAAAATTTCTTTGAAAAAGGTATATACGACAAATAGCTTCATCCGGCAGAGCTGGCTTGGAAATGATATCCAATAGGTAATATTTCTTCCTGGCTTCCCTTTTAAAATGGGAGGCATCCTCAGAAGATGCTGAAGAACCTTTGGCCAGGCTGTGCCTTTCAGAACCACTTATTTGATCTCTTTGTAGAAACAAGAGATGTGGGGCTGAGGTGGACAGGGATCAAAAGAACAAAAGAACTTCAAACACAGGAAGATGAGGGCAGCCCTGGTGGCGCAGCGGTTTGGCGCTGCCTGCAGCCTGCGGTGTGATCCTGGAGGCCCGGGATTGAGTCCCACGTCGGGCTCCCTGCATGGAGCCTGCTTCTCCCTCACCCTCTGCCTGTGTCTCTGCCTCTCTCTCTCTGTGTCTATGAATGAATAAATAAAATCTTTAAAAAAAAAAAAAACACAGGAAGATGAGAGGACACTCCGGTTCCACACAGGGCTGCTGCTGTGCTGGGGTGCATGCATGAGCCCATAGATGGCAGACAGTGGAGGGGGAAGACAAACAAAGGTGGGGGTTTGGCCAAACCTAGGCCATGGCAGGAAATGTGACAGGCAAGGTACTGGTGCCAGGTAGCTCTAGAGCCCAGAACACGGTGAACATTCAAGAAATGTTTGCTAAATTGAATGAGTGAATGAATGGATGGATAGATGAGTGTATTAAGTCAGGTATTCCTAATTTTAATTTAATCAATTAACCCTCATTGGTTAATTAACCCTTACTAGGATTCTTCTATTTCAAGTCTTCAGATAATGGTCAATTTTTCACTCTTAACTCCCATTTCCCTAAATTTCATATTTTAAATACTATACACCAAGTGGCTACTGAAAGTCAGAGTCTGGGTAACCATTAAAATAACAGGTACCTAAGTACCTCAGTTCTTTGCCCTAAATTCAAGAGGACGGCATTCTAAGGCATTCCTTATAATTAAAATTCTCGGTGGAGGGCCACTGAGATCCCTCTGAACATGTTGGTATACTGGTGAATGAAATAAAAATCTCCCCTTTGGCCCCAATAAGCATCTACTGAACAGGCGAGGGTGAAGAATGATCTTGCTCTTGTCCTGTCCCACTCTGAGGCTCACAAGCACGGGCATCTAGTAACGGAACAGCTAACATGCTTCGGGTGTTTCTATTCTGCTCTTTCTATGCTTTCTGAGCCTGTACCCTCTGTTCAGAAGGCCATTCAGGTATTCCCAAATACACGCAAACTGGTTCTGTGCTTCAAAAGCTGGTTAAGATGGAAATGTGCAAAAACTATGGCTGTAGATGCCAGCATAGGATTCTTCCAATAATCCTTCATAATAAGCTTGGTATAATGAAAATGGTAGAGGTACAACAGGTGCCAGTGCGTTCCCAGAGACTGCACTAAAGGCAATCTGCACAGTTCAAAAGAACAATAACCAAAGGCCCACTCCCTTCCCCAGAAGGGTTAGACCATTTGGATTCGTGAATGAGCGCCTGAGGGGGCCTCACAGGCACTGCGTGGTAATAATTAGATCTAGAGAGAACAAATGAGTGAATCATGACTTCAGTTGCACAACAGTCCCACTTGGAATGGCAAGTTAAATTAGAATTAAACCCAGAGAGGCTCGAAAAGTCACATCCAGGAACAGCTCTATTTAAAGAAGGCAGCACATGGTTGCCATGAAAGAAATTAAGGGTAACTGTAATCAGCAGGTAATAAAAGGCCATTTGTCACATGTGACCTCAGTGTGATGAGATGCCCTTCACAGAAATTGAAGTTTCTATAGGTGTTTAAAAAAAAAAAAAAAAGCCAGGACATTTGTCTAAGGCTGAAAAGAGAAAGAGGACACACACATCCCAAAATTTAAAACAAGAGCATAAAACAATGGAATAAAATAGAAAGTGCTTTAGCAAGTTCACACACTGAGTCTCAACAGACCTCCAAGGAGCATGGCTGTGGGTAATATGGCAGCTGACATTTACAGAAGGCGGACCATGCACCAGGCTCAGGTCTAAATAAATGCTTTAAGTTCCAAAGCAACTCTGCAAGGTTGATATTAATAGTGCCTCTCACTTAAAGATGGGGACACTGAG